CCAACCTGCAACTCCTTCTCCACCACCACCACGTCCTCCTCCTCCTCCTCCTCCTCCTCCTCCTCCTCCTCCTCCTCCTCCTCCTGCTCCTGCTCCTGCTCCTTCTGCTCTTCGTCTTGTCTTCCGACTTCTTATGTATTTTCAGAGCATCAACAAGGAGGCAATCAGAGCTGTTGTGTGGGCCAAGGATTGTTCTGTCCTGATGTTTCCTCCATTCTTCAGCTTCCCGGACTTTCATGAATATGTAAGAAAAGTAGGAGGAAGAGGAGGCGGGGGTAGGGAGTGGGGAAGCAGGTGGGGGGGCAGACGAGGGAAGCAGAGGAGGAGGGAGGATGAAGAGACTGAAACGCCTGCTGTGCAGGCTAAGAGGGATATTCGCAACTTTGTGAGGAAAGGAGGAAAGCATCACGGGACGGTCCTCTTCGTGGGAGGAGGTTTAGAAGTCTCCGTCATCAATCACATCTTCGGCTTCGAGGTCAAACCCTCCCTCTCCTTCTCCTCCCTCATCCCCCCTCTCCCTTCCTCTTGCTCCTCCTTCCCCGTCCCTTCTCCTCGCTTTGCCTCCTCTTCTCTTCCCCTTCCCCCATCATCCACTCCTTGATCTTGCTCCCCTCCCTCTTCCCCTCCACGAGTGCTCATCTCGCTGCAGATTCATCCCAAGTACGTGGCTGGCCCCTACTACAAGAACAAGCGCTACGTGAAGGAGGGCGAGAGCTTCTCGGAGCTGCCTGACCTTGTGCCTGAGGTGAGACGAGGGGATGAAGACGAGGGTTGAGAAAAGGAGATGTAGACGATGGAGGAGGGAGGAGAGGAGAGGAGAGGAGAGGAGAGGAGAAGAATTTTTGACAGTTTGATCAGGTGGGGAATGTTTATGGGATGTGGATGCCATCGCTGCCTCCAAACTCTAGGTCCTTCTCTCCTCCCTTGTCCTTCTCTCCTGCTCCTTCCCTTTCTCCGCCATACGCCCTCCTCCCTCTTCCCCCCCCCCTCCTGACTTCCTTTCCCACAGGTCATTCTACGACTCCTTCGGTGTTAGCGTCGCCTGCTGCATACGATATGACCTCGGAAGAATCTGCTTCCTGGCACAGGTGTAACTTATCCACTTTCCTCTCCTCCTCCCTTCCACCCTTCCCCACTATCTCCTCCCCCTTCTCCATTGCCCCTCGTCTCCCCCCGATCCTATCCTCCCGCTCCTCTCCTCCCGCTCCTCTCCTCCTGCTCCTCTCCCCCCTCCTTGTCCTCTCCTCACTCTCCTGCAGGACTTCTTGGATGTTCTCAAGGACGAGGTTGGTCCCTGGGCTGCTCTGTTAGCGGCGATTCTCGACTACTCGTGAGGGGGTGTAAATACGATGAGTGTAGACTAGGAGCGGGGGGAGACTGCAGGCCGTGAGGGTTCAAGTCTGAAGAGAGCGAACGTAAGTAGCGCTGGAGATAGGGGGAAAGAGGAGGAGGAAGGGGAAAGAGGAGGAGGAGGGGGAAAGAGGAGGAGTAATCGAGACGGGCTATTCATCTTTTGTAAATATTTCACCGAAAATTGTGTCGAGAGTGGAGGAAGGGAGGAGGAGGAGGAGGAGGAGGAGGGGGAGGAGGGGGGAGGGCTAGCAGCATGAGGTGTTATTGTTGAAGGAGTGGCTTCGCTTCGGCTTGGACCCTACCTTCTCTGGGTTGGGGGTGCCGAACATGCCCTGGTGGACCCACTTGGGGGTCATCATGACCTCTCCCTTGGCCAGCACGGACTTGAGCTTGAGAGTGTTCTTGTCGAGGAGGAGAACGTCGGCGTCAGAGCCCACGCTGATCTCTCCCTTTCCCTTGAGCTTCAGGAACTTGGCCGGGTTCTTGGTTACGAGCGGGAGGATCCGATCGAGGGGCCACTGCTCCTGGAAGTACATCTTCCAAATGAACTGCAGGAAGGCCTTGGGGTGGCCGTAGGTGTAGCGGACGAGGTTGCCGTCGTCGTCGAAGGACGGGAGGGAGCCGTAGGAGTCGGAGGAGACCATCACGTGGTCCATGGGCAGCCCCTCCTGGTGGTACTTGCGGAGGGCGAGACGAGCCTTGACGGTGCGGCAGGTGAAGTCGACGTAGCCTCCCTTGCGGATCCACCTTGCTCCGTCCTGCGGGGTGATTGAGTGACAGGAGAGGGAGGGAGGCGGGAGGAAAGACTGAGGAGAAGGTTGGGGAAGAGAGATCAAGACAGGAATGAGGAGGAGAGGGGAGGGGCAAGAATGGTAGTGATAAGAGCAGGAGCAGGAGCAGGAGCAGGAGCAGGAGCAGGGGCAGGGGCAGGGGCAGGGGCAGGGGCAGGGGCAGGGGCAGGGGCAGGGGCAGGAGCAGGGGCAGGGGCAGGGGCAGGGAAAGGAGGCGCAGGATAAGGGGAGGGGCCCCTAACCTCGATTAGGGCTTCCGATCGCTCCATGTGGGTGGGCAGGAAGGTCGTAATGGGTATATCGCTCTCCTTCATCGCCTTCCACAGCGGCTGCAGCAGCCCATCCCCGAACCCCATGTGGCAGTACATGACTCCGGCCTTCCCGCTCAGCAGCCCTCCCACCCGACAGTCGGACGCAACGTCGAGGATGCGCTCAGAGGAGGGCTGGGAGCCCCTGTGGTCGGAGATGGCACACTCCCCGACCCCGATGCACTGCTCCAGCAGGCAGATGTCTCGTCGTACGGAGCCAGTGATGTTGGGCGCGGGGATGCGATAGGCTCCTGTCCACATGTATGCGGTGATGCCGTCCTCGTTGAGGCCCCGGCACTTGGTCAAGAGGTTCTCAAGGCTCCTGCTAACGCAGTCCGTTCCCAGCACGCCGACGACCGTCGTCAGACCTGCCGGGGGTCTCAGGGGCAGGAGAGAAGGAAGGGGGCGAGGGGGGTGGAGGGGGCGAGAAGGGAAGGGTGAGGGACATATCAGCCATCCAGTTGAAGGAGAAGCAGATTGAAACGAATGCAGCTGCAGAAGCCAAGA